ACATAAGATTTGTATAGGGCTCGCTCATATTCAAATTTAAAGAGCAACAATCTATATACGCTAGACGGATTTAAATTACATTTTTATACGTATTTAATTAATTTTTGCTGGTCGTCACATATCATTTACTTGCAAAAATAATAGGAGCTACTTAAGGATTGCCTAATTAAAGAATGCTTGCCATCGAGGGGCTCTTTTGGTCTATCGGCGAGGATTAAAGAACTGCTTTAAAATAGTAAATTATTACAGTATTATTTTATAATATGAAATTTAAAAAAAATCTTTAAATAGTTACATGAAATTCGACTGCTAAAAAGATTAAATGAAATTAAACTATACAGGAGGCCGCTAACTGTATTATACAATATTATACACAGGAACGCACATCACGTTAGACACAGAACGCGCATCGCGTATGACACAAAATGGCTTTTAAATTCTCAATGTCAACTCTTTCTATCTATGGCTCTGGAATACGGGCTTTCTCTGGGCTGTATGGGGGCGCTGATGTCCAGAATACGGGCTTTCTCTGTCCAGAATACGGGCTGTATGGTGGCGCTGTTGTCCAGAATACGGGCTTTCTTACGTCATATTCTATTTTTAGAGGCTCTCTCTGTCCAGAATACGCCATCGTAGTATGATGGAGCTGTTGTCTAGGATACGGCCCGTATTCTGGACAAATTTCACAGCCCGTATCCTGGACAGAGAAAGCCCGTATTCTGGACAACAGCGCCCCCATACAGCCCGTATTCTGGACAGAAAAAGCCCGTATTCTGGACAGATTTCACCAACCCGACTCGAAGCAAATGAGGATTTGTCGCGCGACGGTCGTGCGACCGTCTTACGACGCAGTAAGTGTCCGGCTTAAGAGTCATATGAATGTACGAACAATAATAATAGGTCTTGTGCTTGAGTGGTCATGATGCCTGCCTTTTTATTTGTTCAACCATGGTAAATATACATGTGTTCTTCGGCATTAATGGTGCGAGTCTTAAAACTTGTCTAATAAAAATTCACCGCGGGATGTATTGACTACGTAAAAAGAGAATGAAGAGAACAAACGACGTAAGTGTAACTGTACCTTGCTATTAAATGTAGGATCTGATACATTTGTGGTGCACCCTTTCCAGTTACTAACACAGCACGAGTCGGGAACTATTTTCCAATCTTTACAGCTCTGAATCCCACAACAATTCTCCTACAAAAACGAATAAAGGTAGCATTAATTCAGAATTTCACGCGCAGTAACATTGTAAAGGATGTATTCTGTAAAAGTACTCCTGTGGCCTTTTTTTTTTAAATTCAACTTTTAGATTTTTTTTCTTTATTATTTATTTTTTTCATTTTTGATTATGATCATTATGATCATGATGATAAAGAATTACCAATAATACTATTAAGGATGATATTTTGCTTTACCTAAGATATAACATTAGCTAAATACTAATTCGGGTGGAAATCGAACCCACGACCTCCAGATAACTAGCATAGAACCACTAAGCGGAAGCTCGGTGGTCTAGTGGTTATGACACCAGGCTAGGTATGTGGTGGTGGGTTCGAACCCCACCCGATCCACTTGCGAGCTTTTTTTCACAATTATTTTGAGAAAGTACTAAGCATTCAGTCCGATAACACGTCAGTATGCAAAACATTCCTATTATGTCCTGTCGGAAAAACAATATTATTATTTATCCGGGTGGTCTATGTGTTTGCCATTAATATGTTTATGCATGTGCTGCAAATGTACTTATACACATGTTCAGAGTAATATTTCAATGTCTGTTCCGCATGGACTGTACTCAATGAAGAATAGGTATATGGTAATAATAATGGAAGGGAAATGCAAACAAAAATCATGAAATAGATTCGTACCACTATTTGTAATTCATCCCATTGACTTGTATACTGCTCGAACCCAGGCTGTCCATATTTGTCCAAGTGGTGTATACTAGTCGGGCTTGACAATGACTTCTGACTACTGAGCAAGAAAATGACAATGCTTACGACAATAACGATGATAAACAGAAGCAGATGCATCTTGGTAAACTGAAGTAAAATAAAAAAATAGTTACAATTTTTTTTAGTAATGACAACAATGATGATAAAAAGAAGCGTGGTTTTTTGGGTAAAGATACCTGCTTTACACTTACAGAGTCCCAGGTTCAAATCCTGACAAACTAGACTTTTATTTACTAGAATAAACATGAAATCTAAACATAAACGAACACAAAAATGAAAGTTTTAGTATCGAATTAAAAGTAAGCGAAATCTTGAAATTAATCAGAAAAGAACGTGCCATCGATGCTTTAAAAATACGAATATATAGGCCTATTCAGTATAATTTATTTAGTAATTCTATCACAACAATAACAATTACTATTCACATTGCAGTATCCGCTGCTTACTTGAGCTCCAATCTAAGCCCTGGCCATCAGGCACAAGCTCGGAGGTATGATGCAAGTCTAGTGATCAGGAGATCATGGGTTCGAGTTCTACCCGAGAACAACTTCCGAACATTTTCACTTCAGGTATTGCAAAAATAATAATAATAATAATAATAATAATAATAATAATAATAAATAATAGAGACCTACTTACTTACCAAGATCACAGAAGATTTGAATCGCTTTGAATATGCATAGCAACCATAGATTGTCATGATAAAAAGAGCAAGTCCTAACACTGCTGTCACTATTACGATGGCATTAATGCTGTCGGTATCTACTGCAATGCTGTATACTTTATCACGATATGCGATACCGATGTAGGCACTTGTTATTTCACATGCTAGTCCGATGATCTGTGATGAAAAGCGAAATAATACATTAAAAATTATGGCGTAGGAAAGGGGTGGAATAGGGTGGGGGTTGACTGGAGAAGCTACATTCCAATCTAACTGTACTTGGGATGGTTGCGCCACCGATTCTACTGTGTTCCTCGAAAGCGATGGAGCTGACGCTTATCGGGAAATGTTATGTTCCTGTTGAGGAAACCTTCATGTTACCTTTTCCCCTGGGCCGGGCTTCCATGGGTGCGCGTTGCCACAAAACAATGATTAGATCAGTTCCCTTTTTAAAGATAAAACTCTGTGGAGCTATTTGTACTACTGGTTGGGTTGAATTTCTTTAGTGTAATACACACTAAGAATCACCTATTTCCCGTGGGTCTGTGGGTCGTGGGCAGTGTACCGGGAGAAATTCTCTAATCTTCTCCGAAGGTTGTACTGCGTTTTTTAACGTGCACATGAGCCATTTTGCACAAGTTTTATCCAAAAATCGGCGCACTTTTGATACTTGTATTTTAGCCCTCCAGCTGAACCAAATGGAGAGCATTGATGGGAATCGTACAGGGACAGTGCCTACCACCAGTTTAACCGCCTGAGCTGCTGTTCTCTATAATAGTACTGCCTATTCTATTCTAAAACAGGCTGTATTCACATCGTTTTTAAAAATACTGTAATTAAATTTAGCTATAATGAATGACTGATAGATCAAACTAAAATACATTACAATACCGAAATTTGTTCCTTCATATTGGTGATTGTCTCTTATACACATCTAGATGTGTATAAGAGACAGGTATAACGATTTGTTCTCCTTTTCTATCAAAAATATTCGGGATCCATGCAGAATGTAAACATTCATGTAGGCTATTTCATCTTGGTAGCTTTACACAGGATACAGCACCTTAATTTTATTATCGTCAATGTTCAATAAAAACGGGGAAAAAGTTGAATTATTTATGATGGGAGGAATCCTATAACTCTGAAATAAAAAAAAAAACAAAAAACAAAAAACTGGAAAATACTCACAAAATACAGAACGTTGAAGAAAATCAAACAACAGAAAAGCTGCAGTTGAACCCGGGGTGACTGGCCGGGTTGTTCCACCGATGATAAGAAACTCATAACGATACTTTAGAAGGCTACCGCAGTATGTCTATGCCATAGATACACTAACCTAACGTTATACTTCGAAGCGGAATAAATCTGTGCTTAAATTTTAGGTTTTGACGGATCTCTTTTGTTACCTTTATCAATAGAATAGTAGAGAGGCATTCAACCGTTGATTTACATCAAAAGAATGAATATAAACGTTGTTCTAAATCTCAAGTATCAATGCCACACAGTCAAATGAAATTGGAATTCGTTGGAATGTTTGTAACGTAATATTGAAAACAGTGCCGTTGGAACCGGTACCGGCTTCACGGCGACGCACGGATCATGCTCGGTGTAGGCCTACCTCAGCACAACCCCACCTCTTCTTCTGAAGTTGAAAAATAAATAAAAGGAGAGACTGATTAGCAAGATGATTACAGTTCCGCTGTTCGGACAGCACCAAAACACTCTTATGTCTTAGAAAACAACTGTAGGTGATACTTCAGTAGGTACCGTTCATCATACAGTGGCGTATTCAAGGGGGTGGAACAACAGGCCTAGAGGCAGCTCCACTAAACGTTTAAAAATTATAATAATAATGGAGCTTAATCTATATCCAAGTGACAAAGATATCGATTAATCTTTTTGAGATGTGTCACAATATAAACACGACTTCTATAGTTTTCTTTGATTGTTTTAGGATAATATTGATGATCAACAGTAATTCTGGTCATTTGATGATGACACCACACCCACCAATCTAATAATATTTCAAGCTCAAATTTATGTCACAATAAAAAGTAACAGGATAGGATAGGAGTATTTCGGTGTGAATCACACCAAGGATAACCCATTAAGTCTAAAGACTTGTTTCCAGTGGGGTCCTTCTAGTGGTGAATTGAGCAGTATTCATCATCATCATCATCATCATCATCATCATCATCATCATCATCATCATCATCATCATCATCATCATCATCATCATCATCATCATCATCATCATTATTATTATTATTATTATTATTATTATTATTAATATTATGATTATGATTACTATTATTATTATTTTTATTATTATTATTATTATTATTATTATTATTTGTTATATAAATTGATTATCAAAGTTCACATCACATTGTCTGTTTAATGTTACATATGTCAACAAGAAGCCATGCTTGTATTTGCATTGCCTGTTCATTTTAACTTCTTAAGACCAACCAGGTTAGAAAAATGTAATTTTACTAGAGTAATAATGTTTTGAGAATGATGAATGTTGCGGGCGGGCCGACGCGAGTATTGTTTGTGTAAAACTGGGAAAAGCCTTGTAGCCGACGCACATCGCTGATAAAGTCGGAAAAAATGACACAGAAAATTGGTCACTGAGCCACTAATTAGGCCTAGCCATTTTTGGGGGTTCTTTCTGAAAATTTAGAATTTGACAAAATTAGGGAGACCGGAAGATTGTATGAAAATTCGGGAGTCTTGTCGCTTGATCAAATCAGAAAAGTTGTAACGTAGGCCTATGATTTGCAAAAATTTGCTCACCTCAGCCCCAACTATGATGTTAACACTTACCACTATTTTGTGGATATAATTATTAACTACATTTATTAAAAAATAATAGATTAAGGAGTCAATGGGAACAGATTTTTTTCAAAAATAAGAGAGTACGAATAAATCCAAAAGAAACTGACAAAAAGAAGTCATTCAATATTTTATATATAATTTAGGCGAGTAAGTAAGGCAGGGGCACCGCTAACTACAGCCTTAACATCCTGAATTTTAAGGAACCCATTGCATCTTTCTGAAGAACAGGGGGTTACCATGAACACCAAACAAAAGTTAGGAAACATTGACACATAATAGGTAGTAGCACACCTTTCTCTTACTGTTTCATATGTTACTCGGTATTAAATAATATTCAATTTCCTGAACCATATACAATAACAACATGAATTATAAAAATATACCCTCTGTAATAAAATTTTGAAAATTTTTATGCTTTTATAGAGTACTACAATGTCACGTCACGATATCACGTGACACTACTCCGTTGCTATTTGCGACACAAAATGAGTTCAACCGGACGTCATTTTCCCTACTGACAAACCATTGATCCCAATTTCTAACGTAATTATTAAGATGTTGTATCTTAGTTTTTCTCCGTAAATTTTAATTGATGATTAAATGTATGTTTGATAACTAATATAATGCGAGCTTTTTTGTTTTTAGTACATTTTGATTGCAAATTATTAGGTTTTAAAATGCCTATTCCAGAAAGCCTATTCTAAACCATTAAAATTATGAAGTCATTCAGGCGTAATGAACGGTAACCAACGTCTGGTTGATAACAAAGAGCGCCACCTGATGTTGTGACGACACGACTGTTGTACTCTATAGCGCTTCTGCACTTCACACTTTGAAGAAAAAGCCTGAAAAATAATATTTAAAAGTTAAAAATAAATAAAAGAAAATTGGTTAGTAAATTATAAAAAAAATTGATTATAACACTGAATAGCTAATTTTAAAGTTCTCAATCATTAAGTTAATACTGTAACTTGAAATGAAACACATTTCACTGATTTACAGCATTACTAAAAAAACAAAACTTTATATCAAAGAGTGTAGAATTGCAAGAGGTCCGACTACTATACTTACTTTGCATGCAGCGAAAAGTGAAGTACTACCACCAGATGTATTTATGCAGCACGTGTTCGATACGAACGCTATTTTGAAGGGCGCCCTCTAGTTTGTAGAACTGTAGTACTTTTTGAGATAGGATTCAGTTTTAAGGAAACCTTGACATTCAGACAGGGGTGGCGCCAGGATTTCCCCGACGAGAACAAAGTAGGCGTGGTCGAGCATCGCTTAAAGTGTATCGAAAGTGGTCCAGGGGCGAAGTCCCCGAAAATTTTGACTATTTGGTGGTTTCAAAGGCTTATTTAATCGATTGTAGAGTCTAATAAATAATACGCATTAAACTACATATTATTTTTTTTCTCCCCGGCAAATTGTGGTTTTTCTCCTCTACTGGGCCCCTGTGCCCCACCCCCTCCCATTGGTGCCACCCCTGCAGTCAGACCTCTTACAATTCTATGCTATTAGATTATATTTTCATCCAAATAAGAATCAATGCAGAAGGGCTTAGAACTGTATTATTTATGATATGTCTGTTTAATTTTTGATTGAAAGCTAATAAAGCCTACTTAGCACTCTAAGTAGCTTAATAAAAAAATATATAATTAAATAATTAAAAAAAAAATGTTAGCATTTTCCAGATGGTTCGTATACATCTTCAAGCCTTGCAATGTAACATTTAAATCCAGAGATACACATTAATTGTGGCGGATCCAGAATTAATTTGCAGGGGTGGAGCGAACAGCAATTCAATTCGAGAACCTATCGTCTAGAAGAAGAGTTCACCCCTGGATCTGCCAATGAAAAAATTCAAGTTAATTTCTAAAAATACAAAGACTAACTGCAAATTGACAGGACTTGTAATAGTTTATCTTTTTTCATTTTTAGAGATTCCAACTTAGTGTGGTTCTTTTCCAGTCGACTGTAGAGAAACTGCATCAGGGGCCCTGTTGACACCTCAAGCTGATGGCATATTGACTTGGTAAACACTGTTGAAAAATTTAATACATACCATAATTAATTTAGAAATATTTTTATCAGCTGTTGACCATTGCCTATTTGCATAATATTTCCGTTTCAACAAAATACTTGGCATATATTTTTTTGTCACCTATAATGTAAAATTTTATCTCGTGTGTTTAACCAGCAGAAGTGAGGAATTGGCAGGTATAATACAACTAATACAATGAAAGGCGTTTCCGGTTAGCCGGCTGGTGTATTTTGTTTTTAAGTAGGTGGTGGTTGGATAGTAAGTGGGTTATCACATTTTGTTGTTACAGTCTCAGTAGTTGAAAGATGTTTTAATACTATATGTTGCTTGGATTATGTGGTCAAAACATAACATGTGTTACACAGTGATTTTTGGTGAAATTAATTTCAGATTGCAGATTCTTAAAATGGACACTCTAAAAACGAGGCACCGAAACCCTATACTAAAAGTGGAAATAGTGCCCCTCTTTGAAATATAAGTGTTTGGGCGAGTTACTTTGTGGAGGTAAGTGAGGTGGAGTTAAAGTGGTGGTGGTTGAACTGAATTAGGAACATATTTTAACAGATTTATTTCACAGAAAGGGATTTGCGGTAAGCGGAGATATGTTTACTACCAGTAAGGAGTGCTCTTGTAAAAAAATTGGGTGTTGGTAGAAAAAACAAACCACATAACACATTCTAAGCCTATATTAAAACCAAAAAAATATATTTAAACTTACCGTTGAAAATATGTTCAATAAGCATTGTAATTGTTAAGTTAATATCTCAAACAGATTTCGAAGTGAATTCAATTTTCAAATAACGTTGAGCATAAAACTTGCATGTATTTTAATCGTTATACATTAAAATAAAAACTATATTTCCACTTGACACTGAAAACAAAAACATATGTTTTTACTGTAATTTTAAAATCTCAACCAGTTTCAACTTTCATTTATTGTTGAAATAACGTTGAGTAAATAATAGGTACTTTGTAGAAACACACAACATATTTTCAACGGTGATTCTACATTGAAAAAAAATTGAGTAAACATTGTAATTGTTATGTTGAAATCTCAACACGATTTCAATGTGAATTTAATGTTGAAATTAAATTTAGGTAAAAAACATACGTTGAAATACAAACTACACTTTAACTTGACATTGAAAAGATGTTGAACTTTTCCTGTAACTTTAAAATCTCAACCAGTTTTCAACTCTTATTTTATTTATTGTTGAAATAACGTTGAGTAAAAAATGGGTACTTTGTAGTACACATAAGGCATTTTCAACGTTGATTCTAGGCTTACATTGAAATAAAAACTATATTTAAACATAAAAATGAAAAAATGTTGAATAAACATTGTAATTGTTATGTTATACTCTCAAACAAATTTCAAAGTGATTTCAATGTTGAAATAAAGTTGATGAAACAACTTCAATTAGGTTGAAAACACAACATTATACTATATTTTAACTTGACATTTAAAAGACGTTGAACTGTTGATAGTATAACTTTAAAATCTCAACATATTTTTAACGTTTAACATTAAAAAAAGGTTAGATAAATAATAGAATTTTAGTTGAAAACATAACACGTGTTCAACGTTGATTCTACATTGAAATAAAAATTATATTTTAACTTGACGTTGAAAAGATGTTGAATACACGTTGGTACTGTAATTTTAAAATTATCAGCCAGATTTCAACATTAATAATCCAACATTGAATTAACGTTAAATAACCAACTGGAACTCAAAAACACAAACATATT